AATGATGAAGGTAAAATTTAAAGGATGCAACTTTGGTTGATAGTCAGTATGTTAACGATTAGTATTCATTTTTATTGGAAAAAACTTTGTTTCAGTGTACATCCCATTTAACGATAGGTTAAATAAATATTGGAATAACAAGAAAACATAGAGGGTAAAGAGGGATCATGATTCTATCCGATCCAAAGTTTGATCCTATTTTATTAGATTTGGATATCTTCGTTACAGATTTTTGGATCGGATTTGATTAAAAACAGAATCTGATTCGGATCATTCCTATCTGATTCAAAAGGATCCAATATGTTATTTATATTTTTATAAATTTTTATATTATTTATTTTTTTATAAAAAAACATGTATATGTGATGAAAATAGTTGAAAAATACTTTCATATTTTGTTTTTCTTTATTTCAATTATTATATTTTCTTTTTTAATAATTTATTATTTAAAAAAATTAAATCTTATTGGATCAAATTCGAATATCCAACATCCTTATCGAATTCGAATGTAAATCAATGTTTGTGAGATCCTATCAAATTGAATTGGACCTATAATTTATCAGATCGAATTCGGATATACCTTGATTTGAATCCGATCCTATCCATTTGCATCCCTATAAAAAGGGAAAGTGTAACCAGGTTTTTTGACGAAACATTGTTACCATCCTCATTTTTATTATAGATTATAGAAATATATAATGGTTATAGAGAAATTAGGGTACAATAACTAAGGAGGGACAATAATGAAAATATAAAATATATAATATGATAAAATACAATTGGAATGACAATGACTAAAGAAGAGTAATAATGGAAATAAATAATCGAATTACCCATCTACCATTCTATTTTTTATATGATAATAGAAATAAAAAAAAAATCCTATCTTTATTCTTCACTTGAATTGCTGTATCATAAAAATTAGAGTATTGGGGCAATAGTGAAAATAGAAAAGCAAGGTGGCATAGGATTTGACATATAAAAAAATGGTGTTGGAGTCTAAGGTGTCGATCCAAAATCTACTTGTCCCATTCTTTTAAAGGGATACGATTATAAATATGAAAATCTATTTGTCTCATTCTCTTTGGGGGATATGATTGAAAATACTGGAACGATCCATCCATTTCTTCTTTTTTATAAATGTGTTATTATTATTATTAATAAAGATTGAAGCGCCCAATCGTGAGGAACAGATCCCGTCACCCTCGTGGGGAGCTGATTTGAACTCGGATTGCGGTGGAGTGGAGATGTGAACTCGGAGACTGGATGGAGACGGGAGAATACGGTTGCAACTCAATCTCAATGACGTGTTTCTCGTAACGCTCAAGGCCAAACAAAAACAGCATGGTACAATCAGATCCTTATAATGTCGTATGCCGAACATCATGGACTTGGGAATCCAGACAAAAACACGATAGCGCTCTGAATTTCCGCGAGAAGATCTCTCTCTCTCTCTCTCTTAAAGGAGAAATCCGTCGCATTGCAGAAGACCTTCGTCTTCATTATCGATCTCCTTCGTCTGTTTTGGATGGAATCAGTCTTAGGATTTGAATTTTGTTGGCGGGAATTCGTTCTGTTCGTTCTCTCTATTTGCATCTCCAGGGGAAGATAGAAGCGTTCACGTGTTTGAGCATAAAGAAAGGAGAGAGATGGCTGCTTCGGACAATACGAGGGGACTCATTCTCGCTGTCCTTTCGAGCGCTTTCATCGGCGCGAGCTTCATATTGAAGAAGAAAGGCCTCCGACGTGCTGGCGCTTCTGGCACATAAAAAAAAGGGGAATCCTTCGTTTATGTACGACGTGTTTATCTTTTTTCTTTCCAGATCGGAGGAATTTGTTTTACACTTCAATTTGAATGCTCAAAAATTTTCATTGCTCTAAGTCATTTAGGGATTCCATTCGTGGGAAGGATTTGATGGTCGCAGTTATATTCAATTCTGTAATTTGTCTATCGATTCTTCTTTCTCTTACCTTGGCTTTGATTCTCTCATTGTCCATAAAGGTAAGTGTCAAGTGATCAGAATTGTGGAAAGAGAACAATGAGAATAAAGAACAAAATGCAGAGATTATTATGACTTTGGAGTCTAAACTGGAGCCATGAAAGATTGAACACTGATAGGATGTTTTATAATTTTGATGGGTTGACACATTAAATAGTAACTGCTGATGACATACATCAACTAGTTGCTTTGTACTCACGATTAATATCATATCATAGGATCAAGCTATTCTAGATTTCCAGTAATTCTTCCTATTGGAAATCGTGCTTTCAGATTATAGAAACCCGTCAAAATGTTCCGGTACTAAATGGAATCTGACACCACTCTTTCATCTTCTTGACCCAGTAAAATATTCTGTAGCCTGTATTTTTACACTTTGGACATAGTATTTATACCTATGGAGGCCACTCCACTAACTTATATCAACCATCCATGATGAGGGAGAAATTGAAGAGGATGCTACTTGTAGAATTAGACAAAGGTGGTTGAAGTGGACAGGTGTTTTATGTTTAACTGGCATATTACCAACGAGACCAAAAGGAAAATTTTATAATAAAGACTATAAGATCAATATTGTCATATGGAGACACAATTTTGGAATTGTTACTCATTATTAAAGAGGACTTAGGAGTAAACCCAATTAGTGACAAGGTGAGGTATAGTTGACTGAAATTGTTTGATCATGTTCATAGACAATTAATTACTGCACCAATGAGGAGTAACTTGGTGCAAACAGAGGATACAGAGCAGAGGAAGGATCAAAGAAATCAAAACATGGGATAAAGTGGTAATAAATGATCTGATGACTTATAATTTGGTTCTTGATAAGGCATGATGGTGGGACAGGATTCGTGTAGCTGACCACAAATGGTTGGGATTAAAGCTGAGTTAAGTTGATCTCCATTCACATAAATAAACTATATAAACACTTCAATATTCACTATCAAGTCATTCGTATTGAAAAGCTAACTCAAATCTAGGTCCTTAATGAAAATTCTGATCTCAAATACACAAATACGAGTATCTTGATATCCAGTTAGTCAAGGTAGTTTTTGCAGTTTGCCTGTATTTTACTCTGATGCACAATTAACTCAAATAGAAAAGTTCACAATAAGAATGAGTATTTCATATGCCAATGTTTAAGGTCAAGGTCCAAGGAGACTTCTATATACCAAGTGGAACTCCAAAATTCTCATTGCAGCATCTTTAACATGGGATTTATGTCTCACTTAAAAAGGCTTAGGTTCTAAGAATTTGTGACTGGTTATGCTTAGCATTAACCTTACATCATGCATTTTATGTAATTAAAAAAAAGATAAAGAATGAGGATAATGGTTATATACTTATATGAATGCAATAAACCGAACGAAAAATCAAAAAACTTCTTTGCAGAGGCTACTATGTGGCTAATGAACTTTTGCCTACCCTACACCCTAAAGAATTGATGTATTTTTAGTTCTCTGAATCTAATACCATATGCCTCACTGGATAGTAAACTGACCTTAACCCTTCAGACCTCATTTTGTGCACATTGTGGAATTTTTCTTATCCCTCATTTTGCACCAGTAATAGTTACATGTCAAAGGAATTTTTCACACTAATTCTCACAGATGGCAAAATTCTCATACTGCAGGAGTTGGAGGATGTACATACTTGTTAGAACCAGGTGGGCAGGGATGGCGTCAAGTAAGCTTTCAAATTATATATATTCAGGTAATAGTCATAAGCAAATGGTTTATTGTCTCTGGGTCTTAAGTTCTTACAGTCTAGTTGCACCCTCTTCCAGTCTTTTTCATATCATGCCATTTTTTTTCTTGTCTATTGGGCTTTTGATCTACATCTTATTTTGCATGATATGCAGGTGGTGAGCATAAAAGTCATTGGAACTGCAATAAAGCTCACATTGGAGGGAATAAGTCAGATAGCTTATCCTCAAACATGGTTTTTTGTTACAGTTGCTGTTATCTATGTCATTATACAACTGAATTACCTGAACAAGGTTTGTAAAGAATAAGCATTTTCACTTATTAACCCCTGCACTTTGATTATTCATTTTTCTAGGAAAATCAATATTATGAAAGATCAAACTTTTGTAATTGCTCTGTTTCTGTTGATATTGTAATTATTTGTTCACTAATATCCGTTCTTCATTTGTGAGGGATATGTTTCAGTTAGCATCATGCCAATCTTCTATGCCTGATGGTACCTCCACCTGTTATCCTTGGTCCTTGCTCAGATGACTCCCTTATGTTGAACACCAATTTCTAAATCCAGCTTGTGTCACCTTCATGTTTTAAGGAGATTTGCCAAGTATTTCTGAGATTGTTATAACTGGTTGTTCAGCAGTAGTTCCTGATCTTTCAATAGAACTATTAAATAGATGTACTATGGTCCAGGTTTTTTTAACTCATCAGTGCTTTAAGTCAACATAGAAGTTTTCCCTTTGATTCAGAAACACAAGTCAAATAGAAAATTCCTGTCTACATAATTCTGGGTAAAACTCTGGGGATTACAATAATTTAAATTATTTGGATTCTCATAAGGGTCATCAGTTCATGTCATTCCATGTGAATTCCTTGGTCTTTCCCTCATATTCTGGATAAACTAAAATGTTCATATTGGTGATGAAACATGGTTAAAGAAAGTGGAAGATATGGTAGCTGCCTAGTTTGAAATTTCAGGAGCTAAACCTGCAACAGGAAAATTCTTGGATTGCAACCTTGCAACTAAATCACCTAATCAGATGCCTTTAGAATATTAATGCCCTACTGTTCATCAACCCTCTTCGGTTTGTTCTTTGTATGCATTCATTTTTTAATATTATATAGTGAAATATTATCTAATAAAGCAGTATAAACATTTAGAGTCAGGAATATGTTTCATCTCTATTAGTGATTGGACTAGTTATTTGAATTGGCAATACTAGTCTCTGCTTTCCTTTGGGATATCTTGATCACTCAACTTCTTTAATGTTTATGGTATCCCTGTTCAGGCATTGGATACCTTCAATACAGCAATCGTTTCTCCAATTTACTATGTAATGTTCACAACACTGACAATCATTGCAAGTGCTATAATGTTTAAGGTATGATTCATTTTATGAAAGGAATCTTTTTTGTAATTTCTGGGGCATAGTGTTTTTAAGTCTTGTAATTTTTTTATTTATGCTGTGGTAACAGGATTGGTCGGGCCAGAACTTGAGCAGTATAACTTCTGAAGTATGTGGATTCATTACTGTGCTTTCTGGAACAATCATATTTCACACTACCAGAGAGCAGGAAGCATATCCTGTATCAGGTAACTAACTGGTTGGTAGGACCCTCCATTGAAAGTGCTTCTTCTGGGGATATCTTGACCAAAACTCAAGTTACACAACCAAATAGGATGTTTGTGGTTCTCCACTTTATGACATTCTTATGAGTTGTGATAGTCATTGGCACTGGCTCTCTGTTGGAAGTCATAGCTCATAGGCAATGGCTTTCTATTGAAGTATCTAAGGGATGGATGATTATGGCATTTTGATCAGGTATCTTGGTGAGTACTAGCTGGGGGCAGTGGGATGGTAGGTTCATGTGTTGTAAAGTCCATCCTGAGCCTCTACGGTCTGCACCATAGATAGCCAGATTATCTCTTAAAAAACCATATGGAACTCTTGAAATACAGGAGATTGAGAGCTACCTGTATATTATTATTATTATTATTGTTGTTGTTGTTGTTGTTGTTGTTATTGTTATTGTTATTGGTATTGGTATTGGTATTGGTATTGGTATTATTATTATCGTTATTGTTATCGTTATCGTTATCGTTATCATTATGGATATTGCTACTGCTATTGCTATTGCTATTGCTATTGTTAATTGGGTATTACATGGGCAAATCTCTCAATGCCATTTTTCTTTAAACATGGAAATTGACTTTTCATCTTCACTTGACCTGGAGCATGTTTGGAAAGAAAAAAGCAACATTATGTTTGTGGCCATGGATCTATAACTATGATAGAGTTGGCTAACATTCAAAATTATCCTTAACCTAAATGGTTAAGAAGGTAAGTACTAAGTTTTATTACCAAATAACACTCTGAAAATATGCCTTTTTCCAAATTTCCTTATTTGGGTGGCCCTTGTGGGGTGCTTAAAGCATCAAGGGATTATTATGATTGCAAAGAATTAAGATATTTGCATTGAATGTTCTGATAATTCAAAGGCAAGAATGTTCTGTTAGAGGTGGGTAAACATCAAGGACGCCCCAGATTGTGGTTGAGTGTGGACTTTTTCTTTTACTTGGTACTGGGTGATCCTTGCCAATCAAAGTCATTCTGGGAACTGGACAGTGGAGCATTTAGAAATATTTCCTTCTCTTAAGAAGGTTAGTGGGTAAGTGATTAACTAGAAAGTGAAGATGTGTATTGAACCCAGTTCATGGTATTAGCCCCCCGCAGTTTAGTAAGTTCAATAGGTAGAACCTGTCGACGTAATTTATTTGAGAATGGTTAACCTTGGCATTTTTGAAATAAAATAGGAAAATTGTAGAAACAATGGGCAAAAGTTTAATGTATGTGGAATCATCTATTCCAACCTCAGGTTTAAGTTTAACATCCAAGGCATGTGTCATATAATGTCCATTGCCAAATATTCCATTAGATTTTAATGGAAATGTGAGTGTATTTGGGTGAGCAATCCAATTAATCATTTGACCATTTAGTGTCAGTTGCAACTCTTGATGATCAGTTTCCATCCCTTTGCACCATAGGACAAAGTTGGGTTCTTGCACATATTTTCCAATTGTATACTTCTTTTATTTAGCCTGAGCTTATGATTTACCTTTGTACTCAATACAGGAACTATTTCTTGGCATGTTTGTGGTGATTCAATAAAGAACATTGAGGGTGATCATTACATTATCTTGCACGGTGCAGACTATTGAGTAGTTGGCTATTCTTGATATCTTTATATGTGAAAATATGATCACGACATAGGCACTTGACTGCTGAGGAGTGAAGAAGATAAATTTGCAGAGATGCACATATGCCAGGAGCAAAGATTTGGTTAAGATGGTTCACTAAGATTTTACTGACAGTGCTGCAATGGGACGTGTCCAGTTTGGAAGCCCATGCGTAATTGTTTTCAAGCATGAAAGCAGATCGTGGAAAAATAGTGGATAGGTAGGAGATATCTTTGATGTATTCATATCATGGGGTATATTGTATATATATAATTCGTGATTTATTCACTATTTGGCGGAGGGACAGTGAACAATGATAAATTGGCGGAGTAGATCCATCCTGGGGAGTTCAGAGTTGGGCTGGATGAGCAATGAATTCTGCCAATCTTGAGACAATCAGCATTTTATCCATTCCATGAAAATGCCTCTCAAGTCAAGGCGAAACATCATGGATGAACAAGGTGGAAATGTCTACCACATGCCTTGAGCCAATTAACCAGACACACACTCAAGGGTCGAAGAAGGGTCGGTCATTCACCCCATCGTGATGGCAGGCTGGTTTTGTCCCATTATTGCACGGTGAGTATTGGATTGCCCAACAATTTCATATCTTCTGAGGTGAGATTGCTTTGTCCATGGAATGATGGACCACTAAAGAAAGTGAAATGAAAGCATACAGAAGCCTTGGTTGAACTTCTTTCACGAGATGCGCCAATTTGGAGCTAAAATATGCGAAGTTCCCAACCGTATGACAACTCGGGCCAAACCCACTTCGGGGATTGGGATGTGTTACATTGAGCCGGGACAAAAACCAGGCCAGCTTGTCAGTCAATTGGGTGAGTGGACGGCCCTGACCCAGAAACACCTATCCTGTCTTTGGAATATTCGAATATTCTAATCAGGCGTCACTCGCTTGCATGACAATTGACAAGTTGACACAATATCAGTCATACAACAAAGGAATCGCTTCACTGTTTCAGTGCTTTCTTTACACGCTACCATCAATTTGTTTATACCCCTCCGGATGAACTCGGATCTGCTATTGTGCTTCAGATGCGCGGTTATAGATTACATTCAAGGGTTGTTGGTTACAAATGACAACCGAAGCGGTAATATTACATTCGCAGAAAAAAATAATCGACACAACCGTTTTAACTGGAAGATAACGGTGAGGTTCTTTCCATCGCGAAGACAGAAGACTGAAGTCACCGAACGCGGGAGCAAGAAAAAGTTGAGCGCGGGAATGCAATTGCAACTATCTTATTCGTAACGCAAACGGGTAGTCTATCACACACCGTCCATCGCTCTTCACACGGATCTTGATGATGCTGCATGCATATCTGCCAAATAATCTTCTGCTTTACCATTCCCCCCCCCCCCCAAAAAAAAAACACACACACACGCGAAAGCGAGCAACGCAAGAGCATCCAAGCAACTGAACAGAGCGAGCGAGGAGAATGGCGACCACCGTATCTGCTTGGGCAAAGCCTGGGGAATGGGCCCTCGACTCTGAAGAACACGAATCCATGGAGCTTCTTCAAAAGCAGCAGGCCAGTGAAAAGGAGAACGCCAGTGAAAACAGTAACGGTCATTACGATTTGGCCTACCAACAACCACATCTCGCCCCTGATTTCCCTTCCCTCGCCGCCGCTGCCGCCACTAAATCCAAGAAGAAGAAGGGCCAGACATTCTCCCTTGCCGAATTCAGCAGCGGCAAGTCAGTCACCCACGGCTCCGCTAAGGTCGCTCAATTCAACCTAGCCAAGGGTCTCACAGCCGAGGAGCTTCTCATCCTCCCCACCGGTCCTCGCGAGCGCACCGCAGAAGAGCTCGAGAGGTCTTCCTCCCGTGGATTCCGTTCTTATGGCTCTGCCGGCATGCATGATAATGGACGAGGTACCAGGTATTCGAACGGTGACGATGCTTCGAAACCCAGGTGGGGATCTTCAAGGAATTCGGATGATCCCCGCGGGAACCATAGTTTTAACAGGGAATCTGCTCCTTCCCGTGCAGATGAGACCGACGATTGGGGTGCTGCTAAGAAATCTGTGGCTGCTACCCCTGCTTCTGAGCGCAGAGACAGGAATGGGTTCTTTGATTCTCATTCTAGGGCCGATGAATCTGAGAGTTGGCTGTCAAACAAGGGCTTTATTCCTTCCGAGGGGCGGAGAGGCGGTTCAGGGGGTGGATTTGAAAACCCTAGGGACAGAAGGGGAGGCTTTGAGATGTTTCAGAAGGATTCTTCCAATCGTGGCGTTGTAGATTCGGAGTCTTGGGGAAAGAAGAGGGAAGAGAACAATGGGAGCGGAAGGCCAATGCTAGTTTTGCAGCCGCGTACGTTGCCAGTGAACAACGGCGACCAGCAGCAGCCGGGACCTGGGATTACGACCAGAGCCAAGGGTTCGAGCCCATTTGGAGAAGCTCGCCCAAGGGAGGAGGTTTTGGCGGAAAAGGGGCAGGATTGGAAGAAGATTGACGAGCAGCTTGAGTCGGTGAAAATCAAGGATATTAATAATGGAGGCCCTCTTCATAATGATGGGCTGTCTTTAGGAAAGAAGAGTTTTGGAACCGGAAACGGGAGGGTGAGTCTACCTGAAGATAGGACTGAGAGAAGCTGGAGGAAGACAGATTCAGCTGATGTTCGTCCCTCAAGGTATGGTCTTATCTAAACCAGTTGATCATTTTGTTGATTGATCTCTTATCTGAGTAACAAAAAGTAGTTCTTTAGTATTGAACGAATTAATTGATTTCATGTGTATAATTACACATTGTTTGCACTTGTAATTTTGACGGGCTATACATACGATTTTGCATCTTTGAATTTTCTAATGCTTAAGGAATAATTAACACCATTGGAAATGCTTACGTGTTCTAGACTTCTAGTTTCCAAATTTAATATTATCTTTTCCTTGCTAACTCTGGTTCGTTACCTGGGGCTCATAATTTCATCCTCTAGATCATACTGCATATAATTTTTTAGACGGTTTCTCTCTTTTGGTACATGGGGACCTTTAGTGATTTGTCTATTTGAATATTAAGAAGTCTAAATTAGCCTCTCTATACCTTGATAGGGGGAAGAAAATACCAGTAAGTAATTGAATGATGTAATAAACACTCGTTGAACAGAAATCCTTGACAAAGAAGGTGATTCTGCATATCTATAAAAAAAAAAGGTGATTCTGCATGCCAAGATTTCCACCGGTTCCTAAGAAGGTGATTCTGCATGTCAAGATTTCTACCGGTTTCTTGGGCCTTTATATTGAAAGTTGTATTCGATTCACTTTTTTTGTGGTAAAGAAGATAATCCATTAAAAGAGCAAAAGGAAGCAAACAAACAACACAAACTAACAAACAGAACAGAAACAAACTATCTAATTACGACAACAGAATAAATAGCTACTACTGTCAGCAGACAAAATATCTAATAACCAAGAAGGGCATTGCCTGAACCACTCGGAGTGAAACCCAACATAGCAACTGCATGCACTGCCCCATTAGTTAACCAATGCACAAAAGGAAAAGAGATGTTTAAAAGGCTTAGCAAGCTGCAAAATGTCCAGGACCAAGAATGCAATTTCCCTAAGGCAATTCAGCTCACCATTAGCTAAGGAGGAAATCACTAACTGACAGTCAGACTTGATTGAACAATTGCTTGCACCCAACCTAACTGCTAGCTTAACACCTTCCTTGACAACAAGAGTTTCTGCCTCCAAAACTGAAACAGCTTCAAGAAAGCCACATTTAGCTGCCACAAAACACACATTTGAGTCTCTGGCCACCACATTGAAAGACGCAATACCTGAAGACCAGCATCCACATTAATCTCTTGTTTAGTAACATCATTGAGTAATTTATTCTCATAGGGTTGCACCTAACTATTGCCTGCACTATACAGAAATCTTCCAATTTCTTACTGATCAAAAAGAAAAAAAAAAGATCCCACATCAATATTGCTGACTGGGTAATCCCATAAACAACTTTTATGTCCACACTCCACAAGATTCCACATTGGTTGTTTTTGTAGTACATCTTCTCACTTTTGTTTTTTGTCTTTTCTGGCTGGGTTCTTTTTGTACATCGTCTTATGATTCATTCCCTTCCTTTATGCAATGAAAGGTACCTTTTCTCCCAAAAAGATCCAGCATTAGTTGTGCTGGGTGTTCTTTGGGGTGTTGGTGGACACTCGTTTAAAGATTTTATTTTATTTTATTCTTTTTCTTTCCTTAGGCGCTCTCCTTTTAAAATGATGGCTCAATTGGCAAAGTTTCATGTTGGTTGTAGTGAAGACAAAGGAGTGAATCCTGCCTTTATTGTGGGTGGAGAGGTTGGGAGACTGCCTACCCCTGTTGTGTAGACCATTTGCCTAGCAAGAAAACTCTCATTTTTTTATTTTATTTATATGGCATAGATGTCCCCTGTTGTCCTGTCAATACTATGTGAAGCTATATGCTAGAGAAATCTGTTTAATTGACAAATAGTGCATTCGGTTTGGAATTTGGTCTTCATGATTGTTTCTTTTGTTATTTTTTAATTAATGAAATTGATGTTAGGCTATTTTTTTTTTTAATCAGCAAATTAATGTTAGGCTATTCACACAGAAAAATGAATTTGGTTGAAATTATACCTTGATTTATTCATGATTGCCTTTCTTAGTTAATTGCTTTAGTTAATGGAATTGATGTTAGACTATTCACTTGGGTTTACATTCAGTTATTTATTATTTATTTTATTTGGAGTGATGGGAACAAACATATCACATCAATTTGTTTGCTTTAGTCTGCAATGTGGAATTGCAAACCGGTGCTTGAATTAACAATTTTGCTTCTCAGAATTCAAGATTACAGACAATATAATATAGTTTATGGAACTACGGCCAATTCTTTGTGTGTCAGAAACACACTTGAGTCTCAATTGAGGCACCACCACCAAGTCTGATCCACTTAGCATGGAAACTTGCACGCATCTGAGAGACAGACGACTATTAAAATTTAAATTTAAACCAAATAAATAAGAACCTGTGGAGGAAGGCGGACTAGGATGGGGTTTGGGATGTCCTATCTTAATGCAATGAGATATTGACTAATTTTTTTAACCTTCCTAGGCAATGCAAATGCAATGTGTAGTTGGTATCTAGGCACTGGCCTGTTGGTCACAAAAATGTGATTTAAATTTAAGATATTATTGCAATCTTACACAGATCAACTCAACAAAGCCTTGTCCGAACTATATGGAGTTAGCTAAATGAATCTTGTTTCAGTGTCATGTTCTGCTGCAGTCTTAATTCTTATATATCAGTTAATATAGACTTAAATATGCAATAAACAAATTATATTAAATGTATGTTTTACAATATTCATTATACAAACAAATAAATGGAGATTGGATAGTGAGAAATAGAAGTGATAGTATCCATTTTCAAGGAAAGCATGCAATTTTGATTGTTTAATGTGGCTCCTTGTTTGTGGTAACTCCATATTGGTACCCCACCAAATGGAGGAAAGCTAAAAGAACTCTTCCACTACCCCATTTTATAATCTTATGGCTTTTGTATTTATAGACCATCGCCTGTCTTCATGCCATCAGGAGTGCTTTAAAGCAACTATCAAACTAGCCCATGTATAACGAAAAAAAGGCATAAATAATATATATGATATATTTTATGGAATTAGAGGTTATCACAAAGAATTATGTTCATGGTGAGTCTGGTGACTAGTTGATGACGAGTCAACACCTTAATAGCATTGAGTAATGTTCTCATTATAAAAAGAAATGGGAGAAAACAATGAACCATGAACTGATGTGCTGGTTCTTATGCCTTATTAGTCTTTCTGAAAACATACAACGTTAGTTCTTTGGAAATTAGTCTCTATCTTGTTCTAACCATATTTATGATATTCTTTTCTCCATTGGAAGAAGTCAGAGAAAGCAGTGGAGAAGGTAATGGGGTTGGTTGGAATTAATCCAGTTGTAGTGCTTGCTCAGATTTTCCCTCTGTTTGCTCTAGATGACTGTTGCAATGCCACCTGGATGCTGTCTGTTCTATCGGTTGCTTTGATGCTGATGCTCATTTGGTTCTTACAAGTTATGTCTTGTGTGCAGTGCTGGGAAAGTTCACGAGGACGGAGGCGTTTCTGAAGTCTGATGATAGAATGATTTTGGTGGATGAGAAGCATAAATGGGAGCTTCCACGAAAATGTGAGGTATTGAACTGCGAGATTATCAGATTCATGGTCATATTTTCTATTTTTCTTTCCCATATTTTCTCTTTGGTTTTGTTTTTATCCCTTTTGGGTCACTGTAGATTGTGGGGCAACCAGTTTTGGTAGTCTTTTTGAGTAGTTTGCTATTTAGGTTTATATTTAGACTCGTCTGTGGCGGAGGCATGACCACACTAAATTATTTGTATGCGTTGTCTTCTTTTTGAAGGATTAATTGTTCCAGTTTTGGTAGTCTTTTTGAGMAGTTTGCTATTTAGGTTTATATTTAGACTCGTCTGTGGCGGAGGCATGACCACACTAAATTATTTGTATGCGTTGTCTTCTTTTTGAAGGATTAATTGTTCCAGTTTTGGTAGTCTTTTTGAGMAGTTTGCTATTTAGGTTTATATTTAGACTCGTCTGTGGCGGAGGCATGACCACACTAAATTATTTGTATGCGTTGTCTTCTTTTTGAAGGATTAATTGTTCTTTCATTTTGAGCAAATTTTGGATATTCTAATTTTGTGACAACTAAATTATTACCTATCTTGTGTTGTGAAGTTTTTGATTTCTCCGAAAGTGAAGTATACAGTTTCCATTATCAACTGTGGAAGTGAACGTGAGACCAAAATTTCCTGTTTCCCTTGTTTTCATCTTTTTCTTCTGCTCGTTAAATCCCATTTCCATGCCACCAATCAGGGCTAGATATAGCCAAGATGATGGTGGCCACCAATCAGAATCCCTTTTGACCTTGGTGTTTTTAATCTTATGATGTTATTCCCAAATCCTAATACTTGAAAGAACATTGGATAGACAAAGCCTTGATAGTCCAGGTGGCTATTGGTAGCCATGCTAGCGTATAATATTTACGTTTATCATCCTCCAATAACAGATTGTTTGATCTACTGAACTCCATCTATCTCCGCCGACTTGGAGTATACGATTTGAATACTAGTCTTGACGCTGATTTCCACTTTGCTCTCTGCTCAACTTTCCTACTCTCAACTTTGACTACTTCACCTCCTTGTAGTTTTGTCTGCTGGGCTGTCGAAGGAAGCAGAATACCACCTACGTCTTCTCTACTGTTTTTATCTTCGCCATCTCCCGCCCATGGGTTTGATTGTACTTTGATACAACGACAGTAATGGCTCTTGCCGCATGGAGCCAACTGGTTGGTTCGTAAGGTCTTTGTAGTGGAGATTTGGGATTGAATGGGTTAATCCCGTGTTGGTGAGGTGATTACGAATGTTAGTCCTGAGTTCACATCTGCGCCCCACAGCGCATCCCCGCCGTGTATTGGGAATATCTCCCGATGATAATAACAGACCTGATGATGTCATCATCGGAAGATGATCCCAATACAAGGCGGGGATGCGCCATCATCGGAAGATGATCCCAATACAAGGCGGGGATGCGCTGTGTGGGACGTTGTGGGGCGCAGATCTGAACTCGTTAGATGGACAAAGTCCTTTAACAACGGTAACGTAATAAAAGCATCTTATTATCTTTTACAATGCAGTTGTCATGTCAGACATTGCTTCCAAATCCTTCTATGATTTTGTAATTTTTTTTTTGAATTTTTAATTTAAAAATAAAAAATTGAGCTGTGTGTGTTTTGAAGCCTGATTGGGCAATTTAACATAGGTATCTTTTTAAACAATTCAGCTTCTGTCACAGTGCAAGCCCGTTCTCACACTGTCTCATTATCATTTTTTCCATTCTTTCTAATAATAATGGACAAAAATGGATAGAAATGGGCAAAATGAAGAAACGTTATGGATCAAACACGCTTTTTTAATGAAGTCTTTTTATGAAAAGAATGAGAATAAATTTTTAACCCATTTGATTAGAAATTTTATTTTAATTTATTTTTATGTAAGCAATTAGCATCTATTTAAAATTAATTGAAAGAAGGATAAATTTCTTAAATTACTTTTCTGGTTTACCGTGTACCTTTATTGTTTAAAAATTGATTAATGTTACTCTTATTGTTTTTAATAACTACCTAAAACTTCCCCTACCATTGACATTTTGTCTAAACCGTTTACAATTGTTATATTTTTTAAAAATTCCTAATATACTTTTTTATGGTCAAAAATATCCTTTTCGGTCTTAACAAATGATGTTAACTCTATTTCGGGCACAGACTGATTCTACTATTGAACCAGTCACTAGTTGAACTAGTCACTGACGTCAACACTACGGGGACTAACCTATTATTGGTAATCTCCAGCACCGACGTATCCGGTGGATACCGCCCAAGAATCCCTGCCCAACTCATCAAATCCTGCCTCTTCGTATCAATGCCACCGCCGCTGCAACTCCTAGCAGCGGCTGCTTCTTTGGTCATTCTCTCGATCTCCCCTATTTCTTTCTCTCAGCCTACACCTCTCTTTTGTTCTCAGGTGGATCAATGCTCAAGAGCTCGCCTCCAAATTTTTGGGTTTGATGAATCACCCTCGCAGACATCTCCACATTTCTCTCCTTTACTAACTGCAATCGCCACATTTCTCTCCTTTATGGAAAGAAATCCTCAAGAGAACAGTAAACAAATCAGCATAACACAGAGCACATTACGAGAGAACAATAAACAGATCACCAACAACAAAGCGATTGACGTAATCGAGAGCTAAACAAGAATCACAGAGCACATTATGCGCATTAACAACACCTTGAGACTCTAAGGTCGAAACTCTCCCAGTCATCCACCAGCGGCGCACGGTAGCGTCGTTGTACGCCACCACGTTCTCTCCTTGCGGTAGAGCGAGAATGTAGACGGCCATGAGAGAGAAGAGGAAGGGGAGAAAGAGAGAAAAGAGAAGGGAGAGAACAGAGGGCTTCGCCGCTGGAACCTCCGGTGCCCAGTCGGAAACGCCATTGCCAACCTTTGCCGCTGGAACTGCCGCTCTCTCTGACAGTCGATGTTCTTCTTCTAGTGCTCTATATCTATCAGCGGGCTACGGCGGTTGGAAATGGCGTCAAATCTGTTGTAGAGTCGAGAATGTAGACGGCCGTAAGAGAGAAGAGGAAGGGGAGAAAGAGGGAAAAGAGAAGGGAGAGAACAAAGGGCTTCGCCGCTGGAACCGCCACTCTCTCTGACAATCGGTGCTCTTCTTTGGTGCTTTGTATCTTCTGTCAGTGACTCAGTGGGCTTTCGGCGGTTGGATCCCTTATATCTCCCGGTGCTCTGTATCTGAGAGATACTCAGGGGTGAAGAGAAGAAGAGGAAGGGTTCGTTCACGCCATCTGATGCAGTTGAAGATAAGTTTGTCTGCTGCAAGTACTCGATTTCTGCCGACGATGACATTTAGCGCGAAAGTGAAGAGGAGCTTTCCGTCGCCGATGGCGATTTTGGCCACTATGAGTCCTCGATTTCTGCCGACGACGATTTTGGCCGTTGCGACTCCTCGATTTCTACCGCTGATGACCTTTAGTGGAAGAGTGTAGAGTTAGCTTGGGAGAGAGGAGACCTTCCCTCCAAAAATCAGTTAGGAGGGCAAAACAGACATTTGACTTTTTTCGTCCATATTTAACGTCCATATAGATGCTCCATATTTATCCTTAGAAGAAATTAATTTGTTGCATTGAGTGGAAGATTGTGCAAATGAAAAAATAGAACTTGAGCTTCAAAATAAAAATGGAATCTTAAATTTGTAAAATTAAAAATAAAATTAATAACATGAAGAATATCTAACAATTTTATGAATTTGATAATAGTATATTCAATAAAGATAATATATTAATAAAGTCATAAAATAGAGTAAAACATCATAAAATCATGACTCATATTGTTTATTTTCTTTTTACATAGAAGCTTTGTGGGGTAGTCATAAACTATTAGCTTAGGTCTCAAAAACTGCTCTCATAGATTTTTATCAACGGATGGCTGACAGTCAATATTTGTCGACATATGTTTTAACAACAGACTAGCCATCTGTTGGTAAAAACTATGCCAGTAATTTATTATATAGAGTTTAAAGAAGTGAAAATTTCCGACCAGTATCTTGTATTTTGGTCCAGTGATAATTTGGTCTCCAAACATTAAAATGCGACAATCCTGTATGGTTGTACCTAATCTTTAAAAATGTGACAATCTAGTACCTAAACTTAAAAATGTGAATCCAATATTTTCGTTAGTCAGTCCGTTAATCAGTCGTTAAATGATATTTGAAAAGTCAAAAATACCTTAATAATACAATCTAATTCTCTTTATCAAGCATCCAAACATTGACAATAAAATGATTAGTCCCAAATTCTAGATTCTTTTAAACAGTCACTAATTTTTTTGAATAAAAGAGGCTAAGATTTTGGACCGTTCAGTTTTTTGTCAGTGTTTGGGTGGTTCATAAAGAGAATTAGATGTCATTCGAATGGCATTTTTGACTTTTCAAATATCACTTAACGGCTGATTAACAGATTAATTAACGACAGGTACTGGATTGTCACATTTTGAAAGTTTGGGTATTGGATTGTTGCATTTTAAAGTTTGGGAACCAAATTGTCACTTGAGCCAAAGTACATGGTACTAATCGTGAATTTTCCCTTTAAAGAATGAAAATGAGCAATATGAGGCACCATTATTTTTCATGCTGCAAGTTAACTCAATTTTTATGCCATGAAATCATTTTTCATTTTAAAATGAATGAGACACATGGTAAGAATTTTGTAAAAAGCATCCTCATGTAATTCATTCTTGCTCATTCTTGACTAAAATGAGTAAGAATTAAAAGAATGAAACTCATAGCAGCGAACCAAAAATGACCATAACTGTTTTCAATTTGTTGTGTTTGAGAATACAATTCCACCACACGTGCCAAACTGATATAAGTATTACCCAAGTAGGTCATTTCATTTTTTATAATTATTAATTTCACTTGAGAAAGTTTATTTACTCAAAAAGTAATGGGATAAGTGGTATCCATGAAAAACACACTTGCGGAATCCATTCTTACCGATAAAGGAACATGGGAGATGCCCAACATGGACGATGGATACTCTTTTTGATAATATTTTGAATATGATGGAAGAATGTCAAACAGTCCAACTAAAGCACTGTTATCGGGAAGCAATAGATGTACAAACTTAGCGTTTCAAGAAGATTAGAGGTTTACGATTTTTGTATTCCTCCCAATAGAACTGTTACACTTCATCTGGGACGATATTTTGTTAGATGTATTTATGTAAGCTTTATCCTTTTTTCTACCAAAACAAAGGAACATGGGATTACCCTCGAAAAAAGAATGGGCCCTAAGGTGAATTTGGGTGCCTAAAATAAAGTGAATTGGGGTCTGCTCAAACATGTAGAAAAGCCCAATCCGTTTGACAAAACCCATGGACTCGGTGGCAAGACAAGAGATCACAATGGTGCAGTGATCATAGCAATGCCTGTGCCTCTTCTCCTTTGTGC